TTCCTCAAGGACTATGTCGCGGAGTTTTTCAGATGCGACTATGAGCTGGCCTACTTATACGGAACTGAAGACTTTGTTGCGAAAAATCAACTTTGTTCTTCCGAAAGCTGAATTGCTTGTAGATGGTCCAATAGATGACCCAGTTCTAGGTTTTATCTACACAACCAGGAAGACAAACAAGAAGGACTTTTTCCGAGTCCTTCACAAACACCTAGTTCCTACCAAAGCCCTTCGGAGGTTCATTTCTCATGCATCCAAGTCTAAAGCTCCGGAACAGGTCAAAGCAAAGTTTGTAAGTCAACTAACCTAGTATATTGAAGTCAGAGAATGGTTGTTCAGAGCCTACACCTTCATCAAGGAAGAAGACATCTAAGCTGACTGGATTTCTAAGTTCACTTAGGGGGAGATTGTTGGAACCTGAAAGTGAACCTCTAGCAATCATAAGCCCAAAATTCAATTCCGAAGTCAGCAACAGTTTCGAAGTGAAGAGTAGTCTGGAATCTGTCCGGACTTTGAGAGAAGAAGATAAGAAGTTTAGGAGTGAAGAGATTCCGGAATGAACATTATGTCCAGAATATGTGTTGATCCGGAGTCGCTATTTTTGTCTCTTTATGTATTAATTACTTTTGTCTCTTTGCATGATTAGACATTTCATAGGACTTAGTAAGATTGTCAACTTGTACAATCAGCATGTAAGAATTATTCCTTTTATCCGGTCCTATGTATGTTTACTGGTTTGTACCATGTTTCACACACTTCTATTTAAAGGGCTTTCAATGCAATGTTAAGAGACAAATCATTCACTCACTTTTGACATTTACTAAGTTACTTCAATTCACTTTCAAACATTCTTCTTGTTCTTCATTTATTAACCTTACTTTGATCTTTTATTCTCATTCTTCATTTATGAGTTGATCATTTGTTGAATATATTCACTCAGACTTGACTGGTCTATCCAGGCTTGACTAGAACATTTATTAGCAAGAAGACATTGATCTTAAGCATTCACTCAAGGTTTGAGTTTTCAAACCTTGTCCCTGCGCATCAGATCTATTTGTTCTTTCAGAGTACAACCCCGATGAAATCTCGATATTCTCACTAAACGATCATCGGTAATCTCTACCTCCAATGGGTAATCAAGCTCCCCAGGAGCACCACTAATTCTCTTACTGAGCACAAGAGATGCAAACAACCAAATAGCACCCGAATAAAAAAGAATTAGAGGAAGAAATATGTTCACTAAGAACGTCCCTAAACAACACAACATAAAACATAAGCATAAACAATAATGAAAGAACATAAATGAATGGGAAACATACTAGTAACCACGTCAGGAGCCGCACACACCTCCTCTGCTGTCAGCTGAAAAACCCTGCTCTTCACCATAAGGGGCCTACTTCTTGCCCTCCCGACCATCTGTGATCCTCAAAGGCGCCGGTACGGGTGCTGCATTCGCTCCTACCGTCAAACTTCGGCAATCAACCTTCTTGTGGCCTCTTTGATTGCAATGAAAGCAAATCAGACCTGAACACATGGGTGGTGGTTGTGGCAGTGCAATCGCTGCCGAAGTGCCCAATCTTGTCGCACTTATAGTAGCTTGAACCACCCGCCCTAAAAAGCCCGTCATGCATCTTGCCACACTTGCCACAATGGCGCTTCAATTTAGACTCAAAAAAATTAGGTTTCTTTACTGAAACCCCAGATTTCTACACCTGCTCCGTCTTCCTCTTTTCGATGTGCTCCAAATCGATTTGCTGTTCCCTGGCCCTGGATATCATGTCCTCCAATTTCGGACATGCTGAAATTCTAACAAACTCTCTGATATCTGATCTCAACATGTCATGGTACCGAGTCGTTTTCATCTCCTCGTCTGCAACATACTGGGGTACTAATAAATATCTTTCTCGGAACCTGACGGTGATCTCTGCCACAGTCTCATTTGTCTGCCGCATATCCAGGAACTCCCTCGCTAGCTGTTGCACCTCAACAGCCGGTGCAAACTCTGCTCGGAACTAGGTTATAAAATCCGACCAGGTCATGGCCTCAATGGCTAGGGCGCCCAGAGCATAACCAACCTCCTCCGACCAATACTGGGCTTGCTCCCTCAGACAACCTGCATCGAACCACACATTCGACCCATCGGGGGTGTTGTGATATGTCTCCAGCTTACCTCCATCTCTTTGAGGGGTCGAAATGAAACGCCTAAGAATCACAACAAAGTAAACAAGATCGTCTGTCGTCGTCCAGGAGGCAGTCCCAGAACGAGGCTCCGACGATGAAGTCTGTTGGTTTCTTAGAGAGAAGGTGATAAACTATTAGGTAATAATTTTAGGGGTAGCATTTGTCTGATCCCTTCTCCTGGAGGAAAGGGGACCTTTTTATACCTGTGGTCAGGGGAACAGATCCGCGACAGTATCTTCTACCTTTTCAGGTTTTGCAGGGGTAGATGGGTTTCGATTGGTAGATCGTGCTTCGCGAGTGGTTGTTTGCTATTGGTACATGTTTGCCAGGAGCAGCGCCCTGAGCGCTACACCTGTCACTCTAGGGGGCAATTGGTACTATTTTGTCTTGACGCTGACCTTGGCGCTAGGGCGCCAAGGAACGAATTCGGGATCATGAGGGCAAGGGTTAGGACGCGGCGTTAGGCATGCGTTCCTTTTCCTAAATCATCTATCAGACTGACGGTTTCATTATGTATGATTTATTCCTAGTAGGATACGTTATCAATTCCCCTAGGCTAGTAGACGTAAGCGTTTGCTTAGGTATCTTAGTTGTTCTAGCTTAGATATGGACAGACGTTTAGTGGGGATGGCTCTTTGACGACTTCTGACGTGACGGAGGCGTCTGCACATGTAGTTTTCATCATAACCGCTTGAACTTCCCTAATGCATCCAAATCTTCCCCCATTTGTGTCGGTTACCCTTCTATTTTTGCTTCTTCTCACTTCTTCTACTTCTTTTCCTCTTTCTCTTTGTTATGATCTTTTCTTATTTTTCTTCTTTTTCGACGAACAATGGCTGGCCCCAATACTAGAATTGTTCCTTCTTCGAACGAGTAAGCCGGTCTTCAAGAGCGGTTTGGTCTCCTTCCTGAACACGGTGTGGAATACCCTCGAAAGGGGGCTCTAATTTCTCGTCCGCCGGAGGGGAAAGTTGGAGTCCCTATTCCGATCTTCGAGGCTGGTCTGAGGCTGCCTGCGACAGACCTTTTCAACGAGATAATGCACCAATATGGCTTCCGCATGGATGACTTGACTCCAAACGCTGTCAACAAGATTGTTGGTTTTGAACTCGTTTGTCGGACCCTTGGAGTCTGCCATAGTTTTGGGCATTCAAAGCTTTCTTCAATTCTTCTAATCAGTCTAGTGCTTGGACTTTTTGCCAAAGGCGGGGTGTTCATTCCTTTATCATTAACCAAGAAGGTCCAAAGAATAAATGGTAAGATCGGTGGCGTTGGGTTAATCGCAACCTTGTCGGTTTTGGCTATCCGCATTTGACTACTTCTTCCGATCGAGCACCAATGCTGTGGGGTGGCAGTGCCACTGTGTCGCAAGAATTAAAGACCATTTGCATCAATGGCGAGGATTGGGAGGATCATATGCTGGCTGCAGTTGGGATCAGCGCTGCTTGGAGAGCTCGGGGGATGATGCCTCAGTTATGTGTCAAGAAGGACGATAAGTACATATCCTTCCCCCCACCCCCTCTTTAGATTTTTGTTTTCTTATGTTTGCGTGTGTGTTTTGCGAACTATGTTGGCATGTTTCTTGTTTGCAGGTCATGAGAGGATCCTTCACTTTGAGTTGGTGCTGAGGGGCCGCTTTTAGGGCACCTGCCAACACCAAGAAGTGCCCTTGGTCGAGACGCTCCCTCCATCGGTCAGTCCCGACCATGCCTTGGCTCTTGCCGACCCTCTTGTTGCTTCTTCGCCCAGGTCTGATCCTCCCATTGTTTAGGTATTGATTGATGTGCCTGTCAGTGGTGTTTCCCATGAGGACCCTTTGCCTTCTTATACGGAAGAGGAGGAGGCGTCGACTGGACTTATTCAGCGTAGCACCCGTGCGGCTTCCAAACAACTGATTTCCTGGCTGGATTCGCCGCTTACAGAGTCTGATGAGGTCAGCTCCTTAGGTCGACACCTTCTCAAAAGGCAGAACGTGGACTTCCTTTTGTGGGAGGCCACCGTAATGGTTGACATCCCCGATGATGACACTTCGAAATAGTCGGAGGGGATGAGTGAAGGGGCGACCGAACTGCCACATGAACCTAAAGAGGAGCCAATGGAAATTGTTGCCTTAGGTGAGAGCGTCTTTGGTGTTGGCTCAGACGTTTTTCACGAAGGTATTCCAAACTCACCAATCTTGCTTCTGACTGGGGAGGGTACTGCCAAGGGTTCTGCTTCTGCTCCTCCGGTAGCGCCAGCCATATATGTGCCAGGATGGGGGATAACCTGGGAATCTCGTCTTTCCCAACATGCAGTGGCATATGATTGGGGTTCCCATGCTTTTCCCCTACTACCATCGAGGCTTTGTAGCTTCTCGCTAACTCACATCTTTCGAATAACCTTTTATATGCAGCTGCACAAGTTGAATCGTACATGGTGGCAACTGCCTCTCGCCTTTGTCAGAGTGATTCTAGCTTAGGTGAGCTTGCTTTGATCAAGGCCGAGCGGGATGAACTGAAAGCGAGGTTGCTGGAGTAAGAGGGGAGAAACGATCGTTCGAGGAGCGCTATGATCTTTTAGCAGAGGAGAAAGCATCTATGCAGGACAAGGTGGCTGCTTTGGATGGGTCCGTGGAATATTTTTCTCAATGGATCAAGCTTTTAGTGGAGGAGAAGAGGGTGTTGTAGAGGCAGGTGGATTGTGTTAATAAGTGGTTGGAAGAGGAGATCGCGGGGAGAAACGATGATGAGGAAGATTTGGGGTGGTTGCTTCAGAAGGGTATTGTCCAGGTGGTAGATAAGGTTGTCGAGAGCGTTGAGTTTTCGTTGGGAGTGAAGCGGATGAAAATGGCGTGTCTGGCTGTCGGTGTGGAGATTGGAAAACAAGCGATTCGGGAGCAGGTTGTCGCCGTAAAGTTTGTCTCATGGGAACCAAACGTTACTGTGGAGCATTCTCAGGCGATGTATGCTGCTGTAAAATCTTTTATGGAGATAGACTTTGCCTCCAACCTTCACCTAGGTGAGCTGGACATTTGAGGCCTTCACCAATTGTGCGATGATCCTGACACTGAAGAGGGTCAGCCTGAAGGTGGCTCTGCTCATGCTGGACCTTGCTCCACCCCTCAGTAAGTGATGGCTTTTCTCCTTTTTTGTTGTTTGATGTTTGTGATGGTATTTATATTTGCATGGTGTTTGTAAAAAATGTTTGAAACAATGTTTGATTTTCTTCCTTGGCCCTGCGTGGTCTTTTCTAAATCCCGAGGGGTTGTTCAGGTTAGACAATTTGTTCTCTTTGTTTTTTGCGTACTAAGTTTGCTTTTTTAGTTTATTGCATTTCTCCCTCTCTTTTTTTGTCGTGGATTTGTTTGTGTTGGCCATCCTTTGTTTGGGTTCTTCCTAGAGGTTAGTGGTGGCCTCTGGGGGTCTCGGTCATGGTTATCGGTCATGGTTAGCGCTTGTCCTCGGGTCAATATTTGTGAGTAGAGGCTTTAACTAGTCATTAGGTGAGAACTCTGGCTGGTCCGTTCCGTTAAGGTGTCCTCTCTAGTTAAAAGCCTTCGCTTTGGGGCTTTGCTATAAGCCTTGGCTCAAGGGGAGTTGTACTCCGACTTTAGTCATCTGAGCAAGACCGGGATCGTCACCTTGGGGTCTAAGAGCTCAAGTATTAAGCATTTCGAGGGAAAGGTTATGATCCTTTAAGGCTTCTTACTTGTTGTGATCAGGAGCCGCGACTCTCCTGACCTCGTCGACATGTTTATTAGGGAGAAGTGATGAGCCTTTGAGGCCTACGATTGTGTTTTCCTCAATGGTTTTGTCTTGGGTGGCACAGATGATCAGTCTGTTTTTATTTTCCATTTATACGAAAGTATGTCGATACTTGTTCGTTACAAATTGTCTTTTCATTGCATATTTTTTGGTGTCTTGGAGACATCTACATCATTAGATAAGTATCGGGATTCCGATAGTTTTTGCTATTGTAGATGTAGCTCTTGGACTGGCTAGTTGGAGTGTGATTATCCGTTAGGAGTTTGATCACTTGAACCCTTCTGTTGATTCCCCCCAAGCTAAGACTATTGGCTTGGGCTCTAGGGCTCCCAGTTCATCTGGATAAGTTCTTCTTCTTGGTCTTTCTTGGTTTGTTTCTTTCGACGACCCGTGCCTACAAGCTCTCCAGCGTTCGTGTTTGTGTGCGAGCCCTGATCGGCTGTTTCTAGGATGGTCGTCTTTCGGAAAACTATTTTCAATTTCCTCTATTCTCTAACTTTGGTTGCCTGGTTATCACCATTGGGTGGTTTTACCTCCTTCTATGTGACTCTTTCATCGATGGCTCTGTTTTTTGCGAGGTTATTAACTAGACACCATCCTAGGGGAAGCGTCTACTAGTTATGGAATCTTAAGGTTGTACTGAGTCTCCTGTTTACGTCTTCTTTTTTGGGGCAGTTTCTTGCCCTCGTTGCTCCGGTACTAGCGGTTCCTTGGTTGTGTTTCCGATCGAGCTCCGTGACTTCGCACGTGTATTCCCTCGTTTCCTCCTTGTCGATGCTCTGTGCCCTTGCTGTGCAAAGACTTGTGGGTATGCTCAATGATACCCAGCCTCGCTTGGCGTTCATTCTGACAAACCTCGATGTCTCCGGAGTGGTAACGCTGTTGCTATCGCCCCCCCCCCCCCTCGGGCAGTTCGTTTGGGATTGGCATCCTTTCCTATTGCCTTCGGTTTGGGTATTTGTTTTTTTGCGCTTGACCGTATGGGTGGTAATTATTGTTGTACGTCGCTTTCTTGGGATATGCGCGGTAGCCCAAGCGACGATTGCCCAAAGTGGTTTGCCCGTGTGTTTATGGCTATTACTCTTGCTGAGCCGCTGGTTGTTCTGAACTTTACTATACCATGTATTGTTGATGGGATGGCCTGTAGCCGGAAGATGGCAGGTCGCCCTAGGATCATATCGTCTTCTGACTTGTGTTTAACTACTGAGAACTCGATTATCCTTGTTACCCTTTCCTTTCCATCGTGGTTGAGTAGAGTAAACGGGAAGTTTATTGTCTCGAGCGGCCATACCTTGTGTCCTATGAAGCCAACGAGTGGGGCTCAGGTTGGGGGATATTAGGCTCCTCTTCTAGGATGGCAGGGGTCATTCGAAACAGTGCTCATAGAGGAAGTTAGTGCTGCTACCTCCGACGACCAGGGCTCGCCATATCCGATGTTGTTTGACGAGGGTGGGGATTATGATTGGGTCCGTGGGGTCCCAGTCGGGCGCTCGCAGGTCTTTCGGTGAGAAACTTATGTTCAGAGTATCGTCGAGTGAGTCGTCGGCGCCATTGGCTGGAAACCAACGCATGGCTCTGTTCTCGGCCCTTACAATTGCGAATATTTCCTCCTTTTTGATTGGTTGTTTATTCGCCTCCTTCCGGGTTCTCCCGTCTTTCTGCTCGACTTCAAACTTTGATCGTAGAGTCTTTGCGATTTCCGTTAATTCTCCACTCAGTTTCTTGTCTTCTACTTCATTTTTGGGGATCGCACACTCTCCAGTGTCGTGGGTTTTGCTCTTGTGCTATTCACAATATTTGATTTTCTCTTTTTCCGTCCGCTGAGTGGTTTGTTCTACCACGTGTACTTCCATCTTATGGCTCCTGGTCTCGTCTTTGATGAATGGGCGCAATCTACGAGATGAGTGTCTCGAATGTCTACTATGTTTATCATGGCTTCCATCGTTGTGCTCCTTGTGGCTATGGCGGTAGTGGGAGCTAGAAGATTCTTGTTTGAGGTAGGCGCTCGCTATAACTTTTAGATTGGCTTGTTTGCATTCTTCTCCCTCGATCCGCCTGAGGTATTTTTTGACCATATATTTTGGCAATGTTCGTTGCATTTTCCTTGATAGGGGGCCTAGGAGTAGCCGATGGGCGAAGGCGCCAGTGACTAGAAATTCCTCTTGACCAGGGACGCTCAATGTTGCAAGGGTAAACCGGTCATAGTATGCTCGGATGGATTCTCCCTATTTTTGCTTGCATGCCATGATAGAGTTGGCATCTCCTTTGACTTTCCTCAATTGCGTGATGTTGTGGATGAAAAGATACCTCAGTTGTTCGAAGCTTGAGATACTTCCCGAACATAGCGCCTTGAACCATTTGCTAGCATTTTCCGATAGTGTGACCGTGAAGTAGGTGCAGGTAAATCTCTTGTCCATCCGGAGGGATGTCATTGTCCACTCATAGGTGTCTATGTGTTTGTTGGGATCTGTCGTGCCGTCATACTTTGGGATGTTTGGGATCATGGTGGAATGTGGTATTTCATACTGTAACAGCTCTTAGCAGAAAGCCGAGGTAATACTTGGTACGGGGCTGTTCATGTATGAGTACTTGGGTGCTCCGCTGACCATCGCCTGCTTTATGTGGTATAGGTTGTTGTAACGTTGGCCATACTCGTAATGGTACTCGTGGTTGTACATGGTCGCTTGAGGCATGTACGGTGCATGTGTGGAGTATGCATGCATCGGCTAAGTCAGCTGCAAACCTTACTATGTTGGCCCTGTAGTGTGTGAGTTCATCCCCTGTGTTGGTTTGCGTTGAATGTTGTGGATTTGTGGCTGCGTTTGAAGGCATACGCCTTGGTAGTAGTATGAATACGGGTTGAATGGTGGTTGTTGTGCAAATAGCGGGATATGCGATATGGCGGCCATCGGGAAAGACTGATGACGTATAGGTGGTGCGGCTGATAGAATGGTGCAAGGGGACCAGGCGATGGTCCCCACCTATCGTGCCAATGGTTGTGGTCGATTTGCTGTTTGTTGTGATTGGGTGGTCGACGCTCTTTGAGGCGCTATGGTGGTAGTCGTGACCAGATGCTCCATTGCGACGGGCGGAGGTCACCATAGAATAGAAATGAACTCCGTCGTAGGGCCGACTGGCGTCGTCGTCGGTGTCTGTGTGAGTGGCTGCCCTTCCAGGGTCGACGAACCGATACCTTCGAGGGACTGCATTGTTCTAACTATGCTAACATCTTCATTTTCCTGCCGTATCGGTCCTTTGTCCGTCATTTCCGGCGCCTGATCTTGTGAAGTCGGATGTGTCGTACTAGGTGTACGTCTGGATGGCACGAACTGTTGTGATATGTCTCTGGGTTAATTCTGTCTCTTTGAGGGGTGGAAATGAAAGGCATGAGGATCACAACAAAGAAAACAAGATCATCAGTCATTGTCCCGGAGGCAGTCCCGGAACGAGGCTCCGACGATCAAGTCAGTTGGTTTCTTAGAGAGAAGGTGATAAAGTATTAAGTAACAGTTTTGAGGGTAGAGTTTGCCTGATCCGTTATCTTAGAGGAGAGGGGACCTTTTTATACCTGTGGTCAGGGGGACAGATCCCCGACAGTATCTTCTACCTTTTCAGGTTTGGCAGGGGTAGATAGCCTTCGATTGGTAGATCGTGCTCCGTGTGTGGGTGTTTGCTACAGGTGCAGGTTTGCCAGGAGCGGTGCCCAGAGCGCTACACCTATCGTTCTGGGGGGCAATTGGTACTATTTTGTCTTGACGATGACCTTGGCGCTTGGGCGCCAAGGAACGAATGCGGCATCGTGAGGGCGAGGGTGAGGACATAGTGTTAGGCATACGTTCCTTTGCCCAAACTGTCTATCAGACAGACAATTCTGTTAGTTCTGACGTATTCCTAGTGGGATACGTTATCAAGGGGAAAAGCTAGTCATCTGAGCACACTCCATATCTGTTATCCGTTGTCTGGCGGCAATAGGGTCCTTCGCCCCAAAGTACTCTGGTGCTCCACATCCCCTGAAGTCTTTGAAGGAGAGAGTGCGGGATCCATACTGGCCAGTAGCTAGCTCAGATCTAAAGGCCCGGAAATGCTCCTCCATCAACTCGATGACACCTTCCTTGATTGACCCGAACATCACCAGGGTCGCATCAAGGATGCCTCTCATAATATCAGTTGTGATGAAACTGTGTAGCCTATCATCAATTGGTTTAGTACCTGTGCCCGAACCCGATCCAGATTCCTGAACCTCCTACTCCACCATGTGTCATCACCATTCTAAAACACAATACATAAAAAATCAGTACACGCACGAAGAGGTTCACACTCCTGAAGTTTCTTGAAATCAGCAAGGTATTCCTTGTGTCGGGTATAGATCCTATGTTTTCAGTAGTACGGGCCTAATACGCCCTTCCACAAGTATCTATACCTTCCTCAAGGACTATCTCAAATCCTCCAAGTCACTTCCCTACTATTAATTACTTTACTCACACTATAGAGATCCCTATGTGCTAAGACTTATCATAGGATTTCCTAGGATTCCCTTTTTCCATCACCGCTGCTATCAGCTGTAGAAGACATTCCCTGCAATATCTTCTAACTACCTCGCGAATACCGTTACATGTTGTCGACATCAGAAAATTTTCGACTGTTAGATCCCACCCTACAATGGTTGGACTCAAACAAGAGCTGCACAATAGGGTCGAACCCAACCTTCGAGAATTATCTAATCCCCACCACATGAAATTTAATGTATTCGCTTAATAACTAGCAGGCACTAGTGGAGTCCCTAAAAGCACAAAGCAAGCAATATTCGAGCATTGGGTTCTAAACCAGTGCACTACCTAATCATGCCATACTATCTATTCATCTGAATTTTTCACTAGCGTGCAGTTCTAAAGGATCATATAATCGGCATACAAGGCATCTCTGCTAGCATTCTATCATGTAATTATGAGTAGATCCTTAGACCTAATCCAACATGCTATACACATATACACATACTTAGACTATAAACATGTATCGGTATTTTAAAAAAACTTACATGAGCTCGACTGATTGCACGCATCACGCCCCTTTTCTTTAAGAAATCCTTTTTTGAAAATCATTTTCTTATAAAAGATTTTAGAAATCCTCAGTTTGAGTTCAGATACACCCGAGAGTGTGCCTGAATCCCTCAAACCAATGCTCGGATACCAATTTATAGCATCCTAAAAATTACCAAGTAAAAATATCATTTTAAAAACCAACAGAAACATCATTCATTCATTTCAAAACCCATAAAACGCCGAATGTCGGTGGATTTGGTGCGATCATGTCGGGCCCTTCCTTTTCAAACTGGAAATACCTGAAACCATGAATATAATACTGTAAACAAAAAGCTTAGTGAGTTCCCCCAAAATACCCACACCATAGATACATAACAGTACAAAACTAAACTCGGTCTATTTCGCCCCCTTCAGTGTCTTTCAACTGGTACTGGGTCTATTTCACCCCTTCGTTCTCTTTCGACCGGTACTAGGTCTATTTCACCCCTTTCGATGTCTTTCAATCGCTACTGGGTCTATTTCACACCTACAACTAAGCATACAATCGTATCAGCAATAGTCACAAAGACAACAAGCACATACATGCATATCAACAAATGTCACAAAGACAACTATCATCCAACAAATATAATCCAATAGGCCAATATTGGTGCTTTTGACCCACGAGTATAGTGAAGAGTCTCACCTATCAAATGATGATCAACTGCAACTACTACTACTGCTGCGAACACAGATGCTATCAACTACTTATACAATCAGAAAAATATACCCTTAGATGCTCT